AGACGATGCCATTGACTCCCATCCTGGGGCAGTCATCCCTGGGAGACAAACCTTTAACTGTGATCCGCTTCGTGGGAAGGAGTTCCAGATGCCTTTCTGAGGTTATGAAAAGCGTTAGGGGCCACGGAGGCAGGAAAGCAGGGGCCATGCAGAAGGGAAGTGCGCCGGGAGCTGAAGTCGTCAGTGCTCTGACAGTGGGTGCCTGGTGGGGGTTCTCAGAGGCCTTCCCGAAGGCCAGTTCTTAGTGACCGTCTCTCTTCGTTACCGTTCTGTTACTCTGCCAGAACCCCGCGTAAATCAGGTGCCCAAAACATGTTCACACTTATACCCAGTTCCTTGTCCTGCGTAAGCCCAGACTTTATAGTCTACAACAGACACCTGTCGGGTGCACAGCTGGCGAGGACAAGGTGAGAGATTCTGGGAGTGAATCCGGTGAGTCCGTGTGGGGGGGTGTGCCAGGATCCTAGGCGCAGGTGACAAGGATGCGCCGGTGGTGGGATTTGATATGGGCGGGCATTAAAGAAAAGAGCCGTGTGTTTCCTTGCTACCTTTAGCGTATGGCTGTGGCAAGCAATCCATATTTATCCAGAATAAGCTTACTTAGGTTAAAGGTGCAAGCCATTGTCACTAAGGCAGTGTGGGTGGGCGTACGGACGGCCCTGTGGGCATGTGCGTGGTGCGCGCTGACTGTGCGTGGTGTGCGCTGAGCCCGCTGAGCTAAACATGGTTCTCACGACCCTCACAGAAGGTGGCTTTCTGACTCCTTGAACATGCTGTTTCCTTCTAAAAAATGAATTCTTATTTTAAATGAGCCAATGTCCGATGGCCGAACACATGGTCTGAAAGCGAAACGAGGCACCAGCCGGCGCCCTTCCTGTTACTCGTGTTTATGATGCTTTCACGTGTGATGTCAGAGAAGGCCAGGGAGTATGTCATGGATACTGACAGGAATGAAAGTATTCTAAATGCCTTTAAGCGCCCTCAGTCCAGCTCCCAGCCCTGGAGCCGGGCTTTTCCAGGGGCTTGAGGTGTGTTGCTTATAGGATGGAAGTGGCCTCAGAGGCTGCTTTTGGACGGGTCCGAGGAATACACCATCACCACCCACCGAGGCCAGCTGCCCCGGCCTGCTCGGGGCCGGACAGCCTCTTCCCAGACACACCCGGAGGCCACAGCGACATGCAGCCGCCCATTCGCCGTGCAGGGGCCTGTACTGCATCTCTGAGATAGAATTCCTTCATTTTGTTGGGTTTACTAATCTAAAAAGGAGTGTGGTGAGAAAAGGTAGCCTTTCGAATCCACCAGACTCTTCCATCTCACATGTACTGTGTAACCCTCTGGGCCTCACTTTCCTTGTTTCTTTAAGGATCTTTCTTAAATCATAGGACTGAAGGAAGGAATACGTAAGTGGACGAACATCTGAAGCTCAGAGCACAATGCCTCTCAGGAAGTTCCACCCCCCATCCCCCTATTCAGGGTGCATCTAAAGGAGGGTGATCTAAGGACTGAGACAGGAGTGAAGAGAGCACAGTGGCCTTCTCTCTCATTGGCAATTAAAACATTATCAATGCAGGCAACCTGGCCAGGCAAAGAGGTGGAATACGTTTCAGAATCTGTTCATAAGTTTGTATTTCCCGTGGTTATGATTCATGTGCACATGTTACTTGAAATGCCTTTATCCACTTTTATGGATGAGGTGCCTGCTTTTTAGCATAAAGTGGCTTCCTGTATGTCTCCTATCGCCTCTCAGCCGCTGAGTGTCTGTGAGAAGAGCCGCCGCCATCTGCTGGCCTCAAACCCAATGTGTGCTCGTCTCCCGCCTCCGTCTTGGGCACCTGCGCCCTCAGAGGGCAGGCGCTGCCGGCTCCCTCCTGCCTCCGGTGGTTGGCACCTGCTTAGCCGTCACGGCTGCCCAGGAGAGCCCTTGGTTAAGAGAGCACTTCCAGGGGAGCAGACCCGACAGCCCAGCTTCCTTTCCTTCCAGCTCATTTTACACTTGCAGGTCAAGTGGTCTCAACAGCCTCTTGTGAAGACATCTCAGTGCTGTGATGGTCAGTTCTTCTAGGGCAGCGGTTCTCAACCTGTGGGTCGCGACCCCTTTGGCGGTAGAATGACCCTTTCACAGGGGTCGCCTAAGACCATCCTGCATATCAGATATTTACATGACGATTCATAGCAGTAGCAACATGACAGTTATGAAGCAGCAACGAAAATAATTTTATGGTTGGGTCACCACATGAGGAACTGTATTTAAAGGGCCAGAAAGTTGAGAACCACGGTTCTAGGGTGTCAACTCCTCGCACAGACAGGTGCGGGAGCCATCGCTGCCTCTTCACCCAGACGGCACCGAAGAGACACGTCTGCAGAGACCGCGGAGCCTCTGCTGCCCGGGCCCTGAGGCGAGAGGCAGCTTAAGAACTCGGGCACTCAGGGAGGCTCAGGTAGGAGCCCACGGGGATGGGACGGCAACTGCGCTTCAGAAAGGCATCCTCCTGTCCAGGAGGTACGTGTAGCTGTGACTCGGACACTTATAGCTGTATTTTCCCACGAATTCAAGTTTCCCTGAAGAAAAGGGCTGTTATCTGTCCTCACCTGCTCTAATATCTCTCTCTCTCTCTCTGCTTAAAACAGGGACGGGGAAAGGCAGCTCTGAAAAGTAGCAAAATAGAGCCCGATTCTGTACTGTGTGACTTGTGAATTTTCAAATGTGTGAAAGACAGTCAAGTCTTCATTAAAATGGAGAAAATACCACATGATCCTCAGGAGACAGGGTGGTTGTCCTGGAAACAGTCTCTTTTTAGACTGAAACCGACAAGCGCAAGAAGCCAAACCTGGGGAGTGAGCGTGGGGGAGCCCGGGACACATTCAGCCACAGGCCCCCTCTTTCCCCAGTGACGTCAGCAGAGGCTGCACACTTCAGCTGAGGCTGACGCAGACGGACAGTGTCGTCAGACCAGGGAGGGTGTGAGCACGGGAGGAAACACTCCTACAAGTCGGGGGGCCCGGCTGAGCCCGGGGGACGGGCCTGGGACAGGGCTGCAGGGCGAGGATCACTGCACACCAGCCCCGGAAGCTCTCACTGTCTCGTGGGGGTGTGCTCACAGGTCTCTCAGCTCCTTGCTGAGCGTTCACTGACCACGGGCACCGTGAGAAGACGGCTGGTTTCATGATGTGAGACAGACTCGATGAGGGGACTCTAAAGACAGCAGCACCCTCGCTGAGGGAGTGAGGACGTGTGCCTGTTTCTCTGCACAATGTCAGGGACTTGAAAGACTATCCAGATTTCACAGTTTTTTTGTGTTTTTGCTTTGTTTACCTGCTTACTTTTCTGGTCACTATTGACCGCCGTTTCTAAACAATTATTTTTCCATTTCATTGAAATGTAGCCCTTCGGTAACTGACACTTTATTTGGCTCTACATTTAGGAAAAGCACAAATGACAGGAACACAGACATGGTTTCTCTCTTTAGTCCCGTGTCTCCACCGCCATGCCTGACGCTTGAGCTGGGCCTGCCCCCCACAAAGGCACAGGCATGTGCATGTCGGGTTGCCCTGCGCAGGCAGGGTGGTCAGCAGCTCCCTCGCCGCTGTGACTGGACCTAGCGCCCCTGCCCTCCACGCTCGGACAGCCCAGTGTCCTTAGGTGTCACCCACCACCCAGGGGGCTAACTAGCCTTTGGCTGAGAACCACTGATCAGATCACATGTTACAATTAGAATAATTGACAGGAAGTTACAGTTAGAGACATAAGATAAAGGATTGTTATAGCTACCCTACAACCGAGTGAAATAATCCTAGGGGTTACTTGCGGTCAGCAGTGCACATTGGCCTAATTTCTAGAATGGGACCATAGTCACGAATATTAGACCATAATCACGAAGTCAGTCCTCACCACATGGGAACTGTGCGAACGAGAAAGACGTTGGATTGAATTCCACGCGTCCCAGCAAAATCATGGAGACCCTCTGGCTGCATCTCCCCTTTACAGATGGGAATGAGGCACGTGGTGTCAAGGCCTGTGTGGGTGTGGAGCGCGGGCAGGTGTCCCTACAGCAGGTGTCGTTCCGCGGATGCAGAGATAACCCGGATGTGGGACCAGAACACTCACAGTGCGTGTGTCACTGAGTTACTTCTGTGGAACCTTTGGGGTCTAGCAGTGGTTAAGGCTTTGCTACACTTAACATTTCGGTACAACCCTTCAAAACTTTTCCTCCGCAGTTACATTATGTTCATCTAATAAAAGTCTTTAATGGCAACAGACTATTTCCACTTAATAATAGGTTATGTGGTGGTGTGTTAGGGGCATCGTTACCTGTCAGGACAGAGGTTGGCCGCCAGCGTGGACCTGCCACAGGGCCTTCTCAGCAGGAAGACGCCGGTGCTCATTCCTGAAGCCCCTCCTCGTCAGGCAGTTAGGGACTGTCTGTGTGATGCTGTTATACAGCATGAATAATGAAATTGGGATGAACGTCTGAAAGGTTCTTATTTTCAACTGCCTGGTTGTCCCCTTTGGATCTATTCCTAGAAGTGGGACTCTGGTGACAACGTGCTCGTTGTAAGGGCTTCGAAGCAGGTAACGAAATTGCCCTCAGGAAAGGGTACGTCCGCTCGTCCTCCCACCAGCAGCGAGTGAGTGTGAGGCTCCCCCCACCCCCCACGGCCTTCCTCCCGTCACACACTCATCCGCGGGCGCAGGAGGGAAGAGACTCTGTGGAGTTAGGGTGGAGGAGGAGGAAGAGAATCTCACAGAAGTGGAGTGCGGCCCTTCCTGCCTGTGCCTTTGTGGGGGGCAGGCGTGTTTCAGGCGTGTTCCAGCCGTGCCTGCGTGCTAAGGCCGTGTGGCCAGGTCCGCACCTGGAAAAGGCTCCACCGGCCGATGCGGAGCAGGAGGAAGTACAGGAGCCTCGCTGCCTTTGGGACTCGCCGAGACGACAGCCCTGCAGAGGGTCCCGTGCTGCCAGGGGGCACTGAGCCCCTTCCCTTCTTCCGCCTCGTGCCCTTAGTGTTCGAGAAGCGCTCTTCCCATATGGCACAAAACAGGGCAAATCAACAGGAAGCAGATTCTCTATCCTGCCAGCACTCTTGTCAGTGCTCTAGGAGAAAAATAAACCCTCAAGGCTGTTAAAAAAGGAATGGAAATGTGTTACAGTGTGGGCAGGGATGCCGTTCTGAGATAAGGACAAAGCCTGGAGCTGTTTGTGGAAGCCTTTATTTGAGAGTTTTTCATCCTTCTTGGAGAATCCTGGTGAGTCAGTGCTATGAAAGCAAGGCCCTGTCATGGGCAGTCATTGCAGTATTTCAGCTTGGACGCAGTGGGCCCGCGGCAGGAGGTAAACTCTGGGGCAGCAGCACTCGGCTGCTGGCATCGTTGGAAGTGGCTGGTCGAAGGCGATGTCTGCTTCCCGCCTGCGGACAGCAGGGGTCTCCTGGGCTCCTGGGCTGCTGGACTCAACTGTGTGAGTCGGGTCCTACTCAGTGTGATGGGAAGTCACTGGAGGGCCGCAGGCAGGGTGACGTGGCACGTTTCTCACGTTTCTCTAGGTCCCTTCTGGGCCGGTGGGAACGGAGTGAGTGCTGTCCACCTGTCAGCTCAGGACACACGGGCAGACAGCCCTGGGGTTTCCCTTGGAGCTTAGTTGACACCAATAAATTGTATCCAGTGACGCAGGTCGAGCAGTTGGGTTACAGTCATCCCGCCGTTGCTTCCTTTAGAGCGGGGGTGGGGAACGCAGGCCCGTGGGCCGTGGAAGGCCCCAGAAATCACGTGGTCTGGCCGCCAGGGCATGGGGTGAGTTAATTAAGTGTTTGGCCCACTACAGCGGCCAAGTTTTAAGTTGATAGTCTGTGTGACCCGAGATGCTATAAATATCCAGATGGCTCTGGGCAGAAGAAAGGTTCCCAGCCCTGATTCAAAAGAGCAGGAGGGACCTCTCCTCGTGCCCACGCGTGGGCCCTCCGACCTCTGCGGCTGCCTGGGCGTCAGTGCCCGGCTCTGCCAGGCGCTCCTCCGGCTGCACCACTGTCCCTGCGTTTTCCGTTGCTGAGGTCTGTGACACCGTTCTTTCTTCCTGCCCGGGGCTGACGGCCACATCCTGACACTGACGTTCCTTCATATTCTTTCAGCTGAGCCCTGTGGCTCTGTGTTCCAGGCCCGCAGGGAAGCCCGAGCTGTGTCTCAGGAGGGAAATGTGCAGCCGTAAACTCCTCTGTGGGAGAGAAAGACAGACCCACTCTTGGTGTCGCTTCCCTCTTTGTACATCTATTTATTAAGTTTGGAGTGTAAGCAGGTGAAAATAGCTGTGTTTGACCTGTTGGAAAATGGTCAGATGTGAATAATTTTTTAAAGAAATACTTTTATTTTTTTAAAAAAAAATATATGTTTTTATTGATTTCAGAGAGAGGAAGGGAGAGGGAGAGAGAGAGAAACATGGATGAGAGAGAAACGTGATCAGCTGCCTCCTGCATGCCCTCTACTGGGGACTGTGCCCGAAACCCAGGCTTGTGTCCTGACTGGGAATGGAACCAGACCTCCTGGTGCATGGGACGATGCTCAACCAGCTTAGTCATGCTGGCCGGGCAGATGCAAATAGTTTGTGTCAACAAAAAATTGGGGGAGGAAATGTCAATATTGAATATGAATAATACTTTTTCCATTTTGCAATGTTTTCTCTTTAGATGTTAAAATCCCATGTCAGTGCAATATTCATGCTAATAACGGGCTGATGGAAATGACAAAGATCCAAAATGGAATTGTCTTGTGTTCATGAAAGGGTGCAGAGAAAATGTCCGTAACTGCTGGCTGCCCAGAGCACGTCCCACTTACAGGAACCGCTCACAGTGACGTGTCACGCCCACAGAGCAACCCGGCGCTCAGAGCAACATGTCTTTGAGGTCTCAGCCATGTTCGCTGCAGGGAGATGGCAGGGGTATGTTTTAGATCCAGACACTCGACTCACATAGTTGACCACAAACTGTTAAAATGTCTGAGGTCGACTAACACACCTGCAGAGGCAGGAGGGACGGAAGGTGGGCTGAGCGGGAGGCGAGAGGACCGGTGGGCCGTGTCTACACTGCCTCTGCAGGAGTTTATAGCAGACGGCCTGGCGTGTGGCCTGAACAGCCTCCTGCTGGTAAGGTTTGCCCGCGGCCTATAGCAAGGGCTCCTGCAGAAAGGGCTGGGGACACAGACCTGCGGCCAGATCTCCACAGTGTGAGCGGCTGGCAGCCCTGCGCCGGCTGGTGATCCTGGACGCGTCACCTGCACGTCTGTGCTTCGGTTTCCCACGACGCCCCGAGATCCTGGTGACACCCTCGCTCAGGGTTGTCACGAGCATGCAATATGGAAACACGCGTGTGTGGGACCGTACCGCCCGACTGAATACTTCCTGGTGGCTTCTCACGGGTTTGACCTCAGGAAGGATGAGCAGCTCAGCTGGAAGCCCCGTGTGGCAGGAAAAGACCTCCATCACCTGCCAGCAGGAGGCTCTTCCTCTGGGGTTTCAGAGGAAGGGAAAGCGTGGGCCTGGTTTTACAATCCCGTTTATGATTTTCACAATAAATTGTGTTTCAGCCATGATCACAGCAAATGGACTCTCCCTTGTTGTCCAGCTCTAGGAGCGTTCATTCATGCCTGGAGCTGTGTAGCCACCACCACATCCAGGGAGAGAACCGTGGCATCTCCACACAAGCGCCTCCTCCTCCCCAGGCCCTGGTCTGTCTCCATCGCATCGTGTGGACTTTCTGAGAAGCTGTGTCAATGGAATCACGTGTTATGTCACCTCTTGAGAGCGACATTTTCCCCTCAGCTCAGGGGCTGAGGGTCACCCAGGGCCTGCACCTACCAACTGCGTGTCCCTGTTTACCGCTGGGCAGTCCACGTGCCAGCTTGCTTATCTCTCACCTGCTCAGGGATTGGAGGAGGGAGCTGTTAGAAACGCCTGTACACATACTACTGAGATTTCAGCAGAGACACCAATGATATAAAACCATGTCAAATTCACGCACATTTTCAGTAGGAAAACTTAATAAAAACGTGGTTTGCTGATATTTTTCTTCCTTAACTTAAAGGAGATATGTGTGTGTGTCCCTTTTGAGTTGTTGCTATTTGTCTTTTCTATCCCAAATGTAACTTGTATCCAGGCCTTCCCAAGGCCTAACGTCCTGGAATTCCGACCACCATGCCTGTCTCCTAGGATTGACAAGGCCTCTTCCTCTTTCAGTCTGAGAGCAAGACTATTGCTAGTGGTCTCGCCAGGACCATCGAAATAACCTCCTACAAAAACAGCTTTTGACCAAGGTGACCGCCCATGTCTTTGCTGAGAGTTGAGAAATAACGCAGAGCTGTCCCCGTGTTAGGAACTAGAACTGAATATGACAACAAGTCCACATAGGCGTGTTTTTCCTGTTGGGCTAAATAAAGCTGCCGTGACTCTCGAGTGTTTCCTGTAACCTGCGGGTCAGTTAACCGATCAGCACTGTCCCCGGGTTTGCTGGCCAGGCAGTTCCATCGGTTTACTCTTCTGTAAAAGAAAATGTATCACAAATTGTTTCATTCCCTTGGAACATTTTCTCTGGCAAATGAAGCCAACAGTTAATGGATTTTCCTTCAAAACAGAATCGACCAGTGTGTATCTAAAAGCAGCAGGGCCCTGGCTGGTGTGTCTCCGTCAAGCGTCATCCCAGGCACCAAAAGGTCGTGGGTTTGATTCCTGGTCAGGACACATGCCCCGGATGTGGGTTCCGTCTCCTGTCGGACCAGACACAGAGGAGGCAGCCAATGGATCTTTCTCTCTCACATCAACTGTTTCTCTCTCCCTCTCATTAAAATCAATGAAAACATCTAAGTAAAAATATGAACAATAGGCACCATGGTTTAGATATCGAGAAGGACAGGGCCCTGCTTGGGAGACCGCGGGCCTGGGCAGAGTCAGTGAGGCTGCTTTGATCCGGGGAAGAGTCACAGGGCATCCATCTCACAGGCGCCTCACGGCTCTGTTGTCGCTGCGTCCAGCAGGAGACTTGGTGTCACGGCTTGAAGTCCCTTGGGGAGGCTGTGTCTTTGATTTGTAAGGTTTTGCTCGTGTAAAGAATTCCTTATGGAAAATTGCAAGCACAGGAAAATAAAAAGATAAGAGAAAGGAGACTTATAGTCGCCCTCAGTACCCTTTCCAGTGGAGATGCCGGGGACACGTCCGGTGAGCAGGTGGCTGTGGGCAGTGCTTGCGTGGCGGGCACTGCCGGCCTTGGAGAGGGGTCATGGCTGTGATCACGTGGCCAGTCCCTGTCCCTCCGGGAAGTGCCAGTGGTCATCACAGAACTGACCCAGGCCCCCTGCTTCTCACCGAGTCTGAGTGAACTCTGTAAACAACTTTGGAAACCAGTGTCTCATCTGTGGAACTCACACTCTGTGTCCCCAGACCACAGCACACGGGAACAGCAAGCACCCACTGTGGGAAGGAATCGTCCGGAAGGGTCGGAGGTCCTGGTTTCTTGCCTGGGCTCTGCTGTGTCCTAGTTTTGGACAGTTGCAGCTCATTTTCTATAAAGTGAACCTGTAGCCAAATGTTGGTTAAATCTGTGTGTTGCCGTCTAGTAGTGGTGACACGGGGTTAAGTTACTTGACTAACAGGACTTTGCGTCCGTCATGTTTGAAGGGTGACAGCAGAGGTGGTGGTGAGAGAGCACGTGGCCATGTCGGCTTCTGCCCAGGCTGCGGAGCTGTGGTTTCCCACGGCCCTGAGCTGAGCGACGGCTGCAGCTGCCTGGGGACGGGGTCTGTGGAGGTTGTTCCGGGACAGGAGGCCGATAAACCCGCCTTCCCTCAAAGCTGCGGTCAAGCTTGAGGTCCGCTTTCTGCTCCAAGTGACTGGACCCGGCTGTGGACATACAGCCTTTCCCGCGTGTGTGTCATTTAAGGGACTTTTCCTCACTCCTCTTGTTGGGGTCCTTTTTCGTTGCTTCGTTCTCAAACCCTAACTTGGCAAGAGGGTCGGGCGGTCACACAGCAGAGGAATGTGCCAGCCGCGTGGACCAGGTTTTAGCAGAAAACAGCGGAGCCAGTCACTCCAGTTAGATGTTTGTATCAGCTTCCTATTAACTGATGCGTGACTTACACCTGGAGACCCGCACCTGCACACGTCAGTGTAACGGGCACACTTACGTTTTCACATGTGTCTGTGAACATTCTTCCTTCCCTGGTGTCCACTTGTGGGCTCACACGGGGCTCTGTTGCAGGTCCCGGGTCTCGCACGGTGGCTGCAGCATGGCTGGTCGTGTGGCCCAGACCAGGGCACTGCCCCTGCCCCTCCTCCTGCTGCACAGGGAACCGGAGGCGTGGCCAGAGGAGGCCACCTACACAGTAATGGAGACCTGCTTTAGTATCATCGTTTCCCAATGAAGGAAGCGGAGTGTGAACGTACGTTCGGGGAAGGTCTTTATCTCCTCAGGGCCCAGTGGCCACGTAGGGACTGGCTACCCTGGGTGGCACTGCTCTCACACGACTTGAGCTACAATACCCGCTGTGGTGCTCCAGGTCTTGGTTCTGCAGGCAGGCCGACCCGATTGGATCCTGGCCTCGCAATTCAGTAGTTAGTGACCTTGAATGAACTGCGCAAGGTCTTCAATTTCCTCATCTACTTTCAGGACGAGTAAACGAGATGCGGTAACATGTTCACACGAGATGCGGTAACATGTTCACATGAGATGTAACATGCTCACATGAGATGCGGTAACATGTTCACACGAGATGCGGTAACATGTTCACATGAGATGTGGTAACATGCTCACACGAGATGCGGTAACATGCTCACACGAGATGCAGTAACATGCTCACACGAGATGCGGTAACATGTTCACATGAGATGTAACATGTTCACATGAGATGTAACACGTTCACACGAGATGCGGTAACATGCTCACACGAGATGTGGTAACATGCTCACATGAGATGCGGGAACATGCTCACACGAGATGCAGGGCACAGGAGCTCAGCCAAGAGGAGTCATGTCTTGGCTGCAGTTGTGCACAAGTGAGGGGACTGTAACTCTGCTCTTCACACACGACTGACCCCAGCCCGACACATCCCGGCAGCTAGGGCGAGCGTTCCCTGGAGCGAGGCGGCTGCACGTGGGGTGGGAACACCCCTCTCTCCCAGAGGAGGGAGCGAGTGCGTGTCCCGGAGACGCAGGCAGGGCGGGCGGAACATCCGGGGATGCACGGGTCCAAGTTGGAGAGGCAAGTGGGCCTCCAGTGGGAGCGTCCACGCGTGTAAGGCAGGCGCACACCTGCACACATTGCACAGCCTTGACGGGGAGAGAGAGCCGTGTGTGAGTCATCACTGGTTGTGGACACAGTAGACTGGGTTGATGCAGAGATGTCTGTCTTATTCTGGAATGTGATGATTTAAGTAAGTTCGTTAACCCTTTGTGCGCCGCAGCGGCTATAGACACGGGGATGGTTTCCGTTTGGACATGGGGCAGTTAGCTGGGCAGGAAGCTGGTTAATATCTGTACTCGTATTTTCTTGCCTCCACCCCTGGTTGGTAAAGAAGGGAGTCCCACAAGTCCTGCCGTGCCTCACGTGCCTTAGCGCCTTGTCAGCCCTCTGTCATTCATCAACAAGCCGGTTAATCCCGGCGTGAGCCATGGCGTGTCACACGGCCAGCGCCATTTGCGTGGCGTGTAGCCGCTGGGTTGTGGCTCACAGTGATGGTGAAAATAAAGGCTGAGAGGGGGAGCACGTGCAAGTGTGGGCTCGGCTCATCGCGCTTCCTCCACTCAGTTCATACGCCAGGTTCTGGGGGGCAGTAGGTGAAGGAACCCTCATCCATCGCGTCTCCCCAAACCCAGTGACCTTCGAGCCCTGTGTGGAAGTGCACACGTGTGCCTGTGCACGCGCATGTCTGTGCACACGTGTGCCTGTGCATGCGCATGTCTGTGCACACATGTGCCTGTGCACGCGCATGTCTGTGCACACATGTGCCTGTGCACACGCGTGCCTGGGCTGGGGAGTGTGCTCGGGATGCGCTGGCAGGTGGCTGGGGAGCAACCAGTCTTGTCTCCAGTGCAGACTCTTCCCAGACAGTGTGTGGGCGCCGCCCATGCTCCCGCTGCTGGCTGCAGGGTCCCACGGTGCCATGCGCTTGGCCAGCCCACATGTCCTCGGTACCTTCATGGCTCTCCCCTCACTGTGACCGCCCTGACTGTCCTCTGTCCTGCCTCCGAGATGAGATTGCCTCCCTCCGCTCATCCCCCTGGGCTGCTGCAGGGACCCTTCTAACCTGCCCACGTGACCGGCTCTCCCACTAGCACCCTTCAGTGGCTGCCGTGGCCTCAGGTGAGATCCAAGCCCTTAGCAGAGGTGGCCCCGCCCACTCCCTGCCTCACCCACCTCTTCTCTCTCTGTCTGCCTGAACCGTGACATGTGCAACAGCTTCCCTGGTCCAGACGCTCCCTGTGCCCTGCTCCACCCACAGCCCCCCTTCCTCCTGTTTCTCGCCTTTACTCCGCGAGTTCTCATTGAGCGTTCCCGGCCCCCCCTCTGGGGCCCCACGCCCCCCGGGCTGCTACGGTCCGCTCTCGCCTCCCATTACCTGCAGATCCCGTAATGAACTATCAGTGTTCGTCTCGGAACCTCCGTTTCCCCGTGACACCCCCACGGGCAGGTAGCGTTTTTCTCTGTGACTTTCTAATTCCAGTGTCGGTTACAGGCCGGCACATGCCAGGTGTTTAATCAATTACGAATGAACAAACACCCAAGAGTCGGTGGAAATGGCACAGCCGCATAGCTGAGAGGCACCGGAGCAAAATGTGAAACGTCCCTCGCGGCGTCCTTACCGTTCAGGGTCTAAAATTGCAGGCGCGTCTGCCCGGGTCGGGTGGTTCGGTGGGGACGCAGCGGGTGGACAGACGCTGCTCGCTGCCCAGGGTCCAGGGCAGCCTGTTCGCCAGGTCCTGACCTGCAGCCTGAGCAGGTGCGGACACCCGCTCCTGGCCGCACTGGTTCGCACCAGGAAGTCCACGTGCGTCCGGCATGGGCACAGCCCATAA